GGCACAGTCATGTTTTCTTAGTCGGCTATAATGTTACCTCAGACTGCCGTGTGCCAAAGGGGGAGAAGGAAATCGGGTGAAAAACAGAGCGAGGAGGAGGAATGGCACACCCACCTGGAATCACTTACAGCAAGGGTGCGTGTGCATGCTTACAGCGAGGGTGCGTGCTCAAGGGTTCACGTGTGTGCTTACAGCGAGGGTGTGTACTCAAGGGTTTGTGTGTGTGCTTACAGCGAGGGTAAGCCTGTTGTCAACGCCACCCAGCTGCATGACCTCCTTGAGCTTCTCCCCAAATGCATCCTGCAGGGCCCTCTCAATGCCCATCTTCATTGTTGCTGCTGAGCTGGGGCACGTGTTGCATGCACCTGAGGCGATGATAGGGGGGAATGCAGAGCAAGACATCTGAATTCAACTCAAAGTGCACATTGTAAGAATGAAGCACATGGGCCCTCTCAATGCCCATCTTCATCGTTGCTGCTGAGCTGGGGCACGTGTTGTGTTGCAGGCACCTGATGGAGAAAGGTGCAAGGGAAGGGAAGCATACAGAACTGGACTTCTGACTCGGCTCGAACCACATCACTCAAATCCCTCTTGGTTATTATCCTCATAATTTCAGCTGAGCTGGGTTCGCGGTATATGCACCTTGGAGAGTAAGGTGTGCGGGAGGGGGGGGGCGGGAAATGCAGGTCAAAGACTTGTAATTCGGCTCCAAGTGCACCCTGTAATGCCGTCTTGATTACCATCTTCATTATTGCTGCGGAGCTGGGATGTGTGTGTGTGTGTGTGTGTGCGTGTGTGTGTGTGTGTGTGTTTGTGTGTGTGTGTGTTTGTGTGTGTGTGTGTGTGTGCGTACGTGTGTGTGTGTGTGCGTGTGTGTGTGTGTGTATCTGTAAGTGTGTGCATCGCATGTGCGCACATGCACGTGTGTTCCTACCTTGCAGCTCCAGGATAACAACGCCGTTCTCCACCGCTTTCACCTCCACATTGCCGCCATCCGCCACCAGGTACGGCCGCACCCGATCCAGCACCCGGTCAGCCGACTCAACTGTCAGCTCCATCTCCCCTTCCGCTTCCTCTACCCCCCCTCCTGCCCCTGTGCCTGCAGCGCCTGGGCGTGCAAACGGGCTAACAATGGGTGCTGCAGAAGGGGGAGCAGCGGGGGGTGCAGCTACCCCGTTGCCTTGCTGTGCTGTTGCTGTTGCTGCTGCTGTGGCTACTCCTTTCGCTGTTCTGGAAGGCTTCCCGTTAGAGCCTCCTCTAGCAGCAACGGTTTCTTGCGTCTGCCCGTCAATCACAGAGCTCCAGTCGTCACCCTCTGTGGCCTGCATGCAACAACTCAGTCGAAACAGGCACAGACAGGGAGGATGATGTGATGCCATGTCATGGCATGCCGTCAAACCTCTCGCATGTTCCCAGCATCCTCTGTGCTTTTCCAGCTTCTCACCGAAAGATCAAACATCCACCACCCCATGTTGTCATCTCTCCACCATCTCTCCACCATCTCTCTCCACTCCACCACGCCTAGCGCATCCGCAGCCGCCGCTCCTCCTGTTCCGCCCGCTCCCCATCGCTCAGCTCCCCCCATCCATGTGGCCAACAACCTCTCTCCCATTCAACCCCACCCCACCATCTCAGCAGAAAACCTTATTATCCCACAATCCCCACCGCCCCGTCTCACCTGCACCACCTGCATCCTCCGCCTGTCACTCTCCCCGTCCGTCTCCCCGCCCTCCACCCTCGCCTGTACTCCTCGTCGTCCATCAGGTTCTCCCCCATCGCCACGCGCATCCCTCCTTCTCTACCCCCTCTCTCACCCTCTCCCTCACACCACCTGAGCAGAACACCTCATTATCCCACAATTTCCCCATCCCCGAACCCCTCCATCCCACCACCCATCTCACCTGCAGCAGCTGCAGCCGGCGCCTATCGCTCTCCCCGTCCGTCTCCCCGCCCTCCACCCTCCGCCTATACTCCTCGTCGTCCATCAGGTTCTCCCCCATCGCCTTGCGCATCCGCAGCCGCCGCTCCTCCTGCTCCGCCCGCTCCCCATCGCTCAGCTCCCCCCCCTCCGCCGCCGCCGCTGCTGCCGCGCCCACCTGCGCGCCCTGCGCCTCCCACCGGGCGAAACTGAAGGGGAAGAGTGGGGAGATAGGGAGGGACGGGGGGAAGGGGACAGCAGGCGGACGATAATTTTTTGTAAGAAGGCGGACGGATGGGATGGGTAGAACGAGCATGTCATGCAGATAGCTTAGAGGATGAGGAGAAGATGAAGGTACTCGGAATGGGTGATCAGAGGAAACCAACGGGGAGAAGCATCAAGCAGGAGAAATCAAAGGAATATCCGTGCTCACCTGCTAGTCTGCATGAAACTTTCGCTCTGCCCGAGCTCCTGCAACCACCGCCTCCGCTCCCCGTCCAGTACTGCCCGAGAAAGCATTGAATCTGCCCGATACACCTGCACTCGCACTGAGCTGCACAGCTCCTCGCCCATAGCCGCCCTGTGGCCCTGCGGAGGGGAGGGGGGAGAGGAGCGCAGGGAAGAGAGGAGGAGAGAGTTGTGGGAGAAGCGGGAAAGGAAGAATGTTAAGGTGTGTTTTGAGTCAATTCAGAACACACCCGGTACACCTGCACCCTCACTGCGCTGCACAGCTCCTCGCCCATAGCCGCCCTGTGGCCATGCGAGGGGGAAAGGGGGGAGGAGAGTACGAGGAAAGAGTTGAGAGAGAAGCGAGAAACCTAAGACACTTGAGATTCGGGCTTACACCTGCACAGCCTCTCGGCGTATTAGCACCTCACTCCGCGCGCCGGGGCCCCTCACCCTCTTGGCAACTCGCTCGGCCCCTCAACAACCCCCACGGCACGCCCCACGGTGCTGGGCTAGCTCGTATCTGCACAGCCTCTCGCCCCCTCCCCTTGGGTGCCAGCGCGCAACTGAGCCTCAAGGGGACTCACCTTGAGCGACACGACGATGTTCCGCGAGTACCCCACGTACTGCAGCGCGCCAGCGCCGTCATACACGGCGTAGATCCCGGCGAGCTTCTGCAGCTCGCGCGCCGCCACGTAGTCCTGCACGGCGGACAGCAGCGTGCCGTCGTCCTCTCCTGGCCGCACGGTGTACGCGGATGACGTGGCCTCGTGCACATCTGATCGGATGCATGGGGGGTTCGGAGAAAAGGAGAGAGGGGAAATGGGGATGGGGATGTGAGTTTCGAGTCCACTCAAAACTCCACGCCTGGCAGGCAGCACGATGTAAGTGGATGTTGACGTTGCCTCGTGCACGTCTGATGGGATGCAATTCGGAGGGGGAGAGACGGGAGACATGGGCAGAGGGGAAGGTGTTTGGGGAGGGGGAGGAGTGGGGGTTGGGAGATTGAAGGTGACTTTGTTTTAAGTGGACACTGAGATGGCCCCAAGGGGTCTCCTTCCCCAAGAGGTCTCCCTCCCCTCAAGGGTTACACGTGCCGTTCTGGCGGGTATGGGTGGGCCTACCTACCACACCAACTGGAGATATCCATGCAGGCGTGAACCTGGACTCGCCTATTGAGTCGACTCGAGAGACAGTAACGTGGTTTCTTTTATTGCCACTTGAGCTTTCACCTATGTTGAAGCCCAGTGTGTCCCTCTGGTACCGTCCCGTCCGTCATAACTGCACCGTGGCCAACTCCTGTTTCACTACCAGCCGTAATGCGGCCTCTGGCGATAGAGAAGCCTCACAGGGCATCAGTTCAGACGTACCTCCATCGCCGTAGAGGAAATCATGCAGCCCTTTGTGTCCCTCGGGAACCGTCGCGTCCGTCATTACTGCCACGCCTCCGATCCCCGGCACGCTGGTAGCCACGCTACTGGGAGGCGCTGATGCACTTGGTGCTGGCGACGATTTATGGGTTGTATCGACGGGTGCTGATGAATCCGCTCGGACCGCTGCAATTCGTGATTGGTTCGGCCGAACTGTGGCATTCCTTTGGTGCTGAAGGGATTTCAGTGGGGGGACACTGAAGAGTGGCCGAGCAGCGATGGTGGGATGTGGTTGTACTCTAAGCATTGTGGTAGCTGCGGTCATCGTCCGAAGGTGAGACATTGTGGCGATGCAGCTCTCGCACACCATGGCTAAAGGTCCGTCCGACTGAGTGTAAAAGTGCGTCGCGAATAGCGGTTCAATGCGCGATCAATGCGGCAAACAAGAACAACAAGAATACAAAATCTTGCTTTAGCGGGTTCTCCTCAGTCCGGAAATCGCCCAATAGAGGACTGAGGTCAAGGGCTATCTGCTATCTGAAGCTAGTTCGACAGCTTGAAATTGAACTCGCAAATGGAGTTGGGTTATATGTGTGGAGGAGTGAGGAATGGGATGAAGGCAATTCCAGGTTCAGGTCTTTGAGAAATGAATCCTGTGGAGATAGCTGATGAAACATGACTCCTCTCCAGCAGATTCGAGGTACATCATGCCAAATAGGATACACAACCGAGAAAAAACGATCAGAAAATATCAGAACCGAGCAGCCATCCCGAAAATGACATTCCTTCCGCAGATCACAATGTCGGTCGGTCAACGAAACAATGCTGCGTCAGCGTCACGCGAAGCACAAAATTCCTTGTGACCAATCGGTGCAATTTTTTTGGATTGCGTTTCGCTCCGCGATTGGAGTAAAACTGCCTGCCACATCTAGGGGGCCTGAATCTGGCGGAGGTTCGGTTGGTGGCTTTCCTGTGGATGCAGGTGTCAACGTCCACGTCGGCCTGTTGCCATGTGCGGAGAACGCGGCTTCGCAAGGAACTTGGTTCAAATTACGCGATTGAGAGGTCGTCGTTTTATAGCATTTATCCCGTCGATAAATATGATCTGAAACATAGGTGATCAATAATCACCTCTTCTATAAAAGCAGCATCTGCAACTGTACAGCTCGCCATTTCGAAAACCATCAGCAGCACCGTTTGGATTCAGGACGCCGAGGCTTCGCTGCTAGCCCATAGATGTTTCCGCGATTCCCGCTCGTAGAACAATGGAAAAGGGTCGCGTGGTGGTGTTGGACAACGGCGGGGCCACGTGCAAGATAGGCTTCGGAGGGGAGGCGGAGCCGGTGAAGGTCATACCTAACTTCGTGGCCAAGGCCAAGGGCCTGAAACGGCCGTTTGTTGCTGACCTAGTCGACACATGTCCCGACATCAAGGTAAGTGGGTCGTCTAGCTGCGATGAACCAGTATCCTCACTTTCCCCAAGCCTGCCTCATTCTCTTTGTTATTGTTTCGAAATGTTATTATTAGAATTTCTTCCGCCCGTGGTGCGGGTTTGGCCACGATTCTGTTGAATTCTGCCAACTTTGTTCAGGGTTTGGGCGTGCTGAGGCCCGTTGACCGGGGCTACGTAGTCAAATGGGACCTGCAACGAACCATCTGGGACCGAGCCTTCTCCGGTATTCTCAAGGTACTACGTCAATCCGCATTTCGCGTCGTCAAGGCAACGCCTACATTCCTCCTGATTCTCCTTTTCACGTCCAACCCTCCTCACTACACATCCCATCCTTCCTCTCTTCTCAACCCCCATCCCTTCTCTCTTCACTCCTCTCTTCAACCTCCATCCCTCCTCTCCCCGCCTCCCCCAGGTGCAGCCGTCCTGCTCCCTCCGATTGGTATCAGAGACGCTCTCCAGCCTCCCATTCCCTCTCCCCCACCTCCCATCCCCTCTCCCCCACCGATCCCCTCCTCCTCCCTACCTTCCCCGGGTGCAACCGTCCAGCACGTCCCTATTGGTATCAGAGCCGCTCTTCAGCCTCCCACCCTTTCTTCCCCACCTCCCCGTCTCCCCACCTCCCCCAGGTGCAGCCGTCCAGCACGTCCCTATTGGTATCAGAGCCGCTATTTACCCTCCCGGGCATCCAGCGCAGCATGGCAGAACTCGCCTTTGAGCACTTTGCCTTCCGCTCCTACCTCCCCGTGCCCTCCCCCGTGCTCGCGTACCGCCATGAGGTGTGTGCGTGTGTTAATGCACTTCTCTTTATCTTTTGAATCTCTCCTCTCCATTCCCCTGTCCTCGCATACCGGCATGGTGGAGCGTGAGTGGCAGCATGCGATGAGAGGCATGAGGTTTTGTCCGTTGCAGCATGTGCTTGAAGTGCAATTTTGCATTCTCTTTTTCTTTCCATTCCTCCCCTGTCTCAGCTCACCCTCTCATTCTCCTCCCATCCACCCAAACATATATTGCCTGTGCATCATTGGCCTTCTGTCTCAACCTCTCTCTCCTGCTGCATCAGGGCAGTCATCCACGCTCCGTGACTCTCCACCACCACCAACGCCATCATTACTTGCCACGTCATCAGCCGCTGCTGCCAGCTCAGCATCTGCAGCTGCCAGCTCAGCAATGGCGGTAGAGGCGGGCTGTGGGCTGGTGGTGGATGCCGGCTTCTCCTTCACGCATGCCGTGCCCATCTGGAACAACAGACCGCTGCTCCAGGCTGTCAGGTGAAAACAACATAGTCACTGCTGCCAGGTTAAAACAGCAGACTGCTTGGTGAAAGCAACAGATGTGTTACAACAGTATGTCAGGTGTCAACAACATACTGTTTGTGCCGTCAGAATACAGGTTAAGTCAGGTCAAGTCAGGTCAAGTCAGGTCAAGTCAGGTCAAGTCAGGTCAAGTCAGGTCAAGTCAGGTCAAGTCAAGACAAGTCATGCGACTACATCCTGGGTTTATTCCAGAAGGCTCTGCCTATTGTCGTACTCTTGTTTCTCCTGTCTCTCTACCACCCCTCCCCTTCCCCTCAGGCGCATGAACGTGGGCGGCAAGGCGCTGACGAATGTGCTAAAGGAGGCGGTGTTGTACCGCGCATGGAACATGATGGACGAGACACTCATCATGGACCATGCCAAGGCGGGAGGGAGGGGAGGGGAGGGGAGGGGAGGGGAGGCGGCACTTGGTGATTTCTGAGCTGACTCGGACTCTCTTTGCCCCTGCTTCCCCCCACCCAACCCCCCCCCATTCAGGCGCATGAACGTGGGCGGCAAGGCACTGACAAATGTGTTGAAGGAGGCGGTGTCGTACCGCGCATGGAACATGATGGACGAGACACTCATCATGGACCATGCCAAGGAGCAACTGTGCTTCGTCTCGCTCTTCCCCACACGCCACCTCCCCTTGGCCAGGTGATTTCTCAGGTGGGCAGGGCGGTTGGCCCCAGGTGTGTTCCTATGAGATGTCTCAGAGGGCGAGCCTCGAAATACTGATCAAAGGCAAGCTTCAAAGCACTGTTCATGGACCATGTCAAGAAGCAGCTGTGTCTTGTCATGCGCTTGTCCCGATCACCAGCCAAATTGTTTTGAGATGCTCAAAATTCGTCCTTTGGGGCGTTTCAGAAGGCGACCCCCGAGTCTCGAAGCACTGATCATGGACCATGCGTAGAATCGTCTGTGTCGTCTTGTTTTGCGCTTCTCCATTTGCCACCTCCCCTTGTCCAGGCGAATCCCCAGGTGATGTCCCTCCTCCCCTCTCTCCTCCTCCCCTTCTTCCTCCTCCTGCGCTCTGTGCACGTGCGCCTACTTCAGGAAACGGGATGCCAGCAACATATTCCGGGCAGAGTACTTGCTGCCCGACGGGGTGGCTCTTCTGCGCGGGCAGGTGAAAGACCGTGCGGCAGCGATGCGGGCAGTGAAGGCTCAGGAGGAGCTGTGGGAGCAGCACTTAGCAGAGGAGGTGGAGGAGGTTGAGGAGGCAAGGGGAGCGAGAGGGAGGAAACGAGGTGGGGCTTTGCTAGAGGGTAGGACAAGGCGTGGGAGCGATGGGGTGGATAGAAGGGACGAAGATGGGGAGATGGGGAGGAAGAGAGGGAGAAGCGGGTGGGAGGGGGAGCGGGAGGTCGTGGAGGGAGGTGGGGGGCAGCAGCAAGGCGGCAGGGGTGGGGGTGGTGGGGTTGCTGGTGGGGATGATGAGGAAGACGAGGAGGAGGATGAGGACTGGGATGAGAGGAAAGGGCGAGGGAAGGCGAAAGGTGGTGCTGGTGCTGCCGGTAGCGGTGGTGGTACCAGTGGTGGTGGCAGTGGTGGTGGTGGTGGGGCGAGTGCTGTGATGCTACCACCGGCCAACAGCAGAGGCGCTGCTGCTGCTGCTGGTGGTGGTGGTTCGGGCAACAGGAATGGAGGAGGCAGCAGCGAGCAGCCGGTGAGTGGAGTGGTGGTTGGGGGGAATGGGGGAGGATTAAATGGAGAATGGAGAATGGAGTTTCACTCCTGTAGGAAAGAGAATGGAGTTCTCAAACGCCTTATTCTCCTTCCAAATTGGACGGATATACAATTTTTTTACTCTCGTTGCTTGCTCCTCACTGTCTTTCCTGATCCGTTAACTCACTGTTCCGTTTTCCCGATGAAACCCGTGTCTCCCCTTTTTTCTCCTCCCCTCCCTTCTCTCTCCCCCCTTTCCCTCTCCTCTCTCTCCCCGTCCGTACCCTCATCTCCCCTCCCCCCCTCCTCCCTTCCCTTGGCCCCACCAGGAGCTATCACTGGCATCGGAGCGCTTCATGGTGCCCGAGGGCCTCTTCCACCCGTCTGACTTGGGTATGACGCTGCTTGCTGCTTGCTGCGTACTCTTCCCCCTGCTCCCGCTCCTGCTGTTGCTGCTGCTCGTGGTGGTTGTTTCGCCTCCGTCTGGCTGTTTCTTGCGCTGGCTGCCTCTCCCCCTCTCCCCGTCACCTCACCCGCGCGCCCACCCTCCCACGCTGCCCTGAATGCTTCATTTTCATCTCTCGCCGCCAGGAGTGGGGCTGGCAGGGCTGTGAGCGCTGCTCCTCAAGCCATCCACCCTGCTCTCACCCTCTCGCTTACTGTTTCTGACCTCCTGCCCTCCCGCCCTCCCACCCTCTCGCCCTCCCCTCTCCCCCCGCTCCCCCCCCCCCTCCCCCCACTCTCTGAATGGTCCATATTATCTCGCACCACCAGGAGTGGCCCAGGCAGGGCTGGCAGAGATCAAGGTGGCGGCTGTGATTGCTGCTCCTCAAGTCAACCTCTCAAACCTCCCGCCCCTCCCACCCCTCCATCTCCCCCCTTCCTCTGAATGTGCCACATCCATCTTGCTCCCGCAGGTGTCAGCCAGGCAGGGCTAGCAGAGACCATAGTGGCGGCTGTGAGCGCTGCTCCTCGAGTCATCCAACCCCTGCTCTACTCCAAGTACATGCCACCTACTCTTCTCCTCTCGCCTCTCTCCTCTTTCGCCTCTCCTCTCTCTTCTTCCCTCGCCCCTCTCATCAATCCTCTCTAATTGCTGCTCTCGTTTCTTCTCTTCTCTCTGTTTTCCCTTGTGCTCTCTCTTCTCTCATCTTTTGTCTCTCTTCTCTACTCTCTCCCCTCTCTTCTCTCCACTCTTCTCTCTCCTCTTTTTTCTTCCCTCTCCTTTCTTCCCCTTTCACCTGTCCTATTCACCTGCCCCATTCCCCTCTCCCACCCACCTCTCCCATTCAACCCATGTGGCAGCATTGTACTGGTGGGCGGCAGCTGTCAGTTCCCTTTCTTCAAGGAGCGACTGTAAGCGTTGCTAACTTATCTCAGCAATTTTTTCCCCAGCAAGTATTACTCATTTATAAGTCCATAGTATGTGCATCATTGGCTTTGCCAAGTATTATACACCACTTTGGACGTGATCATGCAATTCTTTGCCGCTACTGCTGTCAACATGTCCCACTGTGCCTTGCCGACATATCTCACATTTCTTATCACATGAGCTGCCTCAGATATCCAACTCCCATCCTCGCTCCTTTCCCCTTCCCTCGTCCCCTCTCCCTGTACCTTGTTGGTTCTGTCAGGGCGTTGGAGCTGCGACCCCTTGTGCCCGACTCTCTACCTATTAACATCTCTATCTCCCACAGGTGGGTGTAAACTTTTGTAATCACTCGCAAGAACTGAGTTTTTTCCCACGCACTACCGTGGGGTTCAATTCATTACCATTCCATCATCTCATGAATTTATTGTGTGCGGGTATGCATGGGTCCATGAGTGCATGAATTGGCTGTCCGTGGTGTGACTGGCTGACCCAACATGGCCGCCAAAGTTCCTGCATGAGTGTGCTGTTATTGCGATTGTGTAACAATTGACATTTGTGTCTCTTAGTTTAATGCGCAGTCTCTTTGTTTGGTGTTTTTGTGATGTATTCTGCAGCCCGGTGGTGAGTGCTTGGAAGGGTGGGTCTGAGTTGGTCAAGTCGGGAGAATTTGCACGCCAAGCAGTCACTAAGAAGCAGTATGAGGAGCTGGGATATGACAGGTGCTCCGAACTGTTCCAGTTTTGATGTTACATCTCATTTATAAAGCTGGAAATTGTGGTTGCATTGCTACAAGTTGCAAAAGCAGCAACAGAAATGTCTTGTTTGATATGCCTCTTGCATCTTTTTGGCAGCTGCAGCAACACGCTTGCAACAGCATGAGTTTTAAACTTCCAGTGCTACGTGACTAAGTGGTGTGGTACTGTACTACCATCAGATCATAACCTCTACGTGGAAGCAGCAGCTGTAACAGGCGATGCAATAGCGAGTCCTGATTGCCATGTAGGAGTGGTCTGCTCAAACACATGTGCGTACTTGAGAATAGCCGCCTGTGGAAAAGGGGGAGGCATGGAGGACAGGAGGCTTTGGTGGGTGGTGGATGGTGAGTAGTGGGTAGTGGGTGGGGCAGCTTAGAAGACAACTGGTCTGCTCAAACACGTGTGCTTAGTTGGGAATAAGCGCCTGTGGGGAAGGGAGGGGAGTGGACTGGGGGGGAGGGGGAATTGGTTGGTGGTGGGTGGTGAGGCAGCTTGAAAGACTACTGGTCTGCTCAAACACGTGTACACTTGAGAACGCCACCTGTGAAAGGGAGGAAGTGAGGGGGGGTTGGTGGGTGGTGGGTGGTGGGTGGTGGTGGGGGCAGGCCGATGTGCTGCCTATGAGGCCGATGAGTTGGCTGTTGGACTAGAGGCTCCTTCAAACAAATGACAATGAAACTTGGAAAGCCCCACCCATTTTGCCTCAGAGTAAGCAGCACACTCACATACACACAGCCCTCACCTCAGCAAAGGGAGCGCCGATGATCTGAAGGCCGATGGGCAGACCATGGGGCCCACCGGGGGCTAACCCGCAGGGCAGAGAAATGGCTGGTAGACCGGCCAGGTTCACATTCACCTGCGGTGTAAAGGGGTATAGAGCAATGGAGAAGGGTGGTGGAGAGAGAGAGAGAGAGAGCTGAGGCGAACTGAAATGGATGAGCATGAGGCTGATCCGCATGGGGATAGGGCGAGTGACTTAAACAAGTGAGGAAGGGAGATCAAAGAATGAGACGCAGAGAGAAGTTAGAAAAGGTGTAAGTGAAGTCTGGGAGAAGTATGGGAGAGCTCTGGGAGAGCTCTGGGAGAGGTCTGGGAGAGGTCTGGGAGAAGTAAGGGAGAATTTTTAGAGGGCTCACCGTCATGAGGTCACCAACATACATGGCGAGGGGGTCCGATGTCTTCTCACCTGCACGCATGGGCGCGAGGGAGGGAGCATTCAACAACCATATTTCCCAAGTGTTACCACAGAGTTGCGGACACGTATCGACACAGAGGCACCTCATAGCTGTTTGATCAGATGCCAACATACATGGCGAGGGGGTCCGATCCGATGTCTTCTCACCTGCATGCATAGGTGATAGAAGGAAACAGGGGACAGGAGTTTCGGCAACCAAGGAGGCAAGGATGAGAGACGGGGTTTAGAAAATGAAACCGCTGCAATGCTCATATTTTTCAGCCCTTTTGAGACATTTCCAAAACCACCTTAGTTTTATTTATACTGTTACCAGTGCGCTAGGCAGTGGTGGGAGCTGGGATGAACGTTTCGCGCCAATGCTAATGTTTAGCTCACAGGACTTGCTGCTGGCGCAACCCACGAGCTGTCGAAAGCGGACAGTAGGCTGCGGAGGCCTTACTTCCATCAAATCGTATTGTTTAAGCTCACAGAACTTGCTGCCGGCGCAACCCATGAGCGGTTACCGATGGGTAGGCAGTGGTGGGCGCGGTGGGGGTGATTGATGCGTCAAGCCCTTCTAGGGCTGCCAGAAAATTCTGTCCAATGCCAATACTATGCCAACTAGACTAGCAGTTGGCAGGAGAACCCTTGTGTGGTTACCAATGCGGTAGGCTGTGGTGGGAGCGGTGGGGGTGATGAGAGCATCGTGCCCCTCCATTGCTGCCAGGAACTCCCGTCGAATCATCGTGCGCACCTGCCGTGGGGAGAAGGGGAAGAAGGTGATGGTGGGGGAGGGGAAGAGGAGGTGTTGTGGAGGAGTTAGATTGTTGTGGGGGAGGTAGAGAGTGGGGAAGGTAGGTTGTCGAGGAGGTAATTTGTGGTACCATACCTTTCCCCCAGGTCAGTATGGCGGGCTGGCAGCTGGCAGAAGTACTACAGGGGGGAGATCTGATGCACCTGATGACACCCCTGATGACACACCTGATGACACACCTGATGACACACCTGATGACACACCTGATGACACACCTGATGACACACCTGATGACACACCTGAGGACGCACCCGAGGACGCACGGAGGACGCTCCTGAACCTGAACCCACCAGACCTGCAGAGATGGCAAACATACCTGTGACTAAGATAAGAAGATAAACGACTTGGAGAGTGCACCTGAAGATTCACCTGAACACACACCTGAGCATGCATCTGACCTGCTGCGCCTTCTTGTAGTAGGCATCGTAGTAACCAGCAGAGAGCGCGTACGTGCCCATCAGAATGCGCCGCTTCACCTGCCCCATCAGCACAGGGAGGAGGAGGAGGAATAACGAGAAGCACGGTCAGATGGCGGAAAACGGGAGGCATGCAAGTGAGAACTTGAAAGCGAATGTGAAGACCCCTTGCATCCTTCAGACAGGTACATCTCAGTCAGGGGATGCATCCCGCTGCTTCACCTTGCATCCATCGGGATAAGTAGCAGGTGCATCTCAGGTGATTAGTCGGACCTGCTGCTTAACCCGGCGGTCCATCAGCTGCCTGCTTAACCCGGCGGTCCATCAGCTGCCTGCTTAACCCGGCGGTCCATCAGCTGCCTGCTTAACCCGGCGGTCCATCAGCTGCCTGCGGGCCAAAAGTGAGTTTTTGAGACGGTCCGCAGTCTCAAGCTGACTTGTGAGTCTCAAGCTGACTTGTGAGTCTCAAGCTGACTTTTGAGTCTCAAGCTGACTTTTGAGTCTCAAGCTGACTTTTGAGTCTCAAGCTGACTTTTGAGTCTCAAGCTGACTTTTGAGTCTCAAGCTGACTTTTGAGTCTCAAGCTGACTTTTGAGTCTCAAGCTGACTTTTGAGTCTCAAGCTGACTTTTGAGTCTCAAGCTGACTTTTGAGTCTCAAGCTGACTTTTGAGTCTCAAGCTGACTTTTGAGTCTCAAGCTGACTTGTGAGTCTCAAGCTGACTTGTGAGTCTCAAGCTGACTTTTGAGTCTCAAGCTGACTTTTGAGTCTCAAGCTGACTTTTGAGTCTCAAGCTGACTTTTGAGTCTCAAGCTGACTTGTGAGTCTCAAGCTGACTTGTGAGTCTCAAGCTGACTTGTGAGTCTCAAGCTGACTTTTGAGTCTCAAGCTGACTTTTGAGTCTCAAGCTGACTTGTGAGTCTCAAGCTGACTTTTGAGTCTCAAGCTGACTTTTGAGTCTCAAGCTGACTTTTGAGTCTCAAGCTGACTTGTGAGTCTCAAGCTGACTTTTGAGTCTCAAGCTGACTTGTGAGTCTCAAGCTGACTTTTGAGTCTCAAGCTGACTTTTGAGTCTCAAGCCGACTTTTGAGTCTCAAGCTGACTTTTGAGTCTCAAGCTGACTTGTGAGTCTCAAGCTGACTTTTGAGTCTCAAGCTGACTTTTGAGTCTCAAGCTGACTTTTGAGTCTCAAGCTGACTTGTGAGTCTCAAGCTGACTTTTGAGTCTCAAGCTGACTTTTGAGTCTCAAGCTGACTTTTGAGTCTCAAGCTGACTTGTGAGTCTCAAGCTGACTTTTGAGTCTCAAGCTGACTTTTGAGTCTCAAGCTGACTTTTGAGTCTCAAGCTGACTTGTGAGTCTCAAGCTGACTTTTGAGTCTCAAGCTGACTTGTGAGTCTCAAGCTGACTTTTGAGTCTCAAGCTGACTTTTGAGTCTCAAGCCGACTTTTGAGTCTCAAGCTGACTTTTGAGTCTCAAGCTGACTTGTGAGTCTCAAGCTGACTTTTGAGTCTCAAGCTGACTTTTGAGTCTCAAGCTGACTTTTGAGTCTCAAGCTGACTTGTGAGTCTCAAGCTGACTTTTGAGTCTCAAGCTGACTTTTGAGTCTCAAGCTGACTTTTGAGTCTCAAGCTGACTTTTGAGTCTCAAGCTGACTTTTGAGTCTCAAGCTGACTTTTGAGTCTCAAGCTGACTTTTGAGTCTCAAGCTGACTTTTGATTCTCAAGCTGACTTTTGAGTCTCAAGCTGACTTGTGAGTCTCAAGCTGACTTTTGAGTCTCAAGCTGACTTTTGAGTCTCAAGCTGACTTTTGAGTCTCAAGCTGACTTGTGAGTCTCAAGCTGACTTTTGAGTCTCAAGCTGACTTTTGAGTCTCAAGCTGACTTTTGAGTCTCAAGCTGACTTTTGAGTCGACTCAAAATTCCGCAGCCTCAGAAACTCACTTTTTACACGCGGCGATCCATCAGCTGCCTGCGGGCCAAAAAAAAAAAAACCCCAGGAAGGCCCCCAGGAGCGACGATGGCCGTCTAATCTAATCCCCTGAGACACACATACATTGGTGGATCAACAGCAGCCAGCCGCTCACCTCCTTGCCAAAGCCTTGGCCTCGTGTATTGCTGTAGAGAGATGTGAGGTCCGAACCCTGCTGCTGCGGGCCAAACCTGCATGAGGAGTGGAAAGGATTGGAGTGGAGTGGAGAGGATTGGAGTGGAGTGTGGTGGATTGGAGAGGAGTGGGGTGGAGTGGAGAGGAGTGGAGTGGATTGGAGTGGAGTGGATTGGAGTGGAGCGTGGTGGAGTGAAGGGCATCCATCCACAACACCACAAACAGTGGTGCATTACCTGAGGCACCACATTACACATGTTTATATCAGGCAAGAGAAGGAGAGGGATGGAAGGGAAGGATGGAGGAAGAGAAGGAGAGGGAGGGAGGAGGAGGGAGGGAGGGAGGGAGGAAAAGAAGAGAGGAGGAGGAGGGCACACCTTATGCCATCATATCGGGAAAGGTTGGAAGAGGCTTCAGAAGGGGCCAGGATGTAGTATGCAGGCAGGCCACTGGCGAAGAATGGCAGTGACACCTCCTCCACGGTGGCTCCGAGCGTCTCGTAGTGCGCCGCCGCCGCCCGGACGGCCTGTGCCACATCAGCATCGACGCCAGCGCCCATGGTCTCCTGGACCAATGCGAAGCGGACACCTGTCAGCGGCTTGGAGGTGAGCGAGGCGACGGGGAGGAGGGCGGCCGTGTAATCCGCTACAGGCTGGGGATTGGGGGAAAGGAGATAAGGTGAGGAGGGAACGGGAAGGGGAGGGGGAGGGGTAAGAGGTAGAGGCAGGTAGAGGCAGGGGGCTATAAATTCAGGCTCCCCCACCGACTGGCACGTCTGGATCAGTCAGTCAATGGAAGCACCCCCTGTTTCAATTCACAGCCACACACACAGCTACGTATGGATAACTCAGTCAGTGTACTGTCAGCATCCCTGCTTCCGCTTTCTCACCTCCTTGCTGCACGTGCTGTCCCCATCGTCTCTCCCTGCCATCGCCTGCAGCACGATGGCAGTGTCTTCCACCGATCGACCCAGCACGCCCACACAGTCCAGGCTGGACGCATAGGCCATGAGCCCCAGGCGGGACACCCGGCCGTACGAGGGCTTTAAGCCGACTATCCCGCAGAATGATGCAGGGAGGCGCACACTGCCCCCTGGGAGAGAGAGAGAGAGAGAGAGAGAGAGAGAGAGAGAGAGAGAGAGAGAGAGAGAGAGAGAGAGAGAGAGAGAGAGAGAGTAGGCATGAGGGAGGGGATGGAGTGGGGTGGGGTGGGGATGGGTGGGGGTGTGTGTGGTGCGGTGGCATTGGCATACAGCACGCATAGGCTATTAGCCGCAGCATGCCACGATGTGAGTGAACAGGTTCCATGGCAGCACAAAACACGACACAACATAATGGAACGCGATGCAAAACTATGCGCCTTCCCCGCCCTCTACTGTGGCGCCTACAGAGCCGCCATAAATGGGTGAGGCTGGGCGTGGCAACACACAACACAACACACAACACAACACACAGCCACATGTCCCCCCTTCCACTTCTCTCTCCCTTTCTCACCTGTGTCGGAGCCCAGAGCCACAGCACACTGCCCAGCCGCCACCGCAGCAGCAGAGCCTCCTGAGCTGCCACCTGGCACTCTCGAGTGGTCCCAGGGGTTGGCTGTAAGCTGGAAAGGGGGAGGAGAGAACGAAAGGGGTAAAGGGAAGAAGGTGCTTTGAGACGTCTCAAAAGAGAGCAGCGGCAGAGCCTCTTGAGCTGGCTCAAGATTCTCAAAAACACCCTCGTGAGAGGTCCCATGAGTTGGCTGGTACATGGAGGGGAGGGCGGAGGGGAGAGAGGAGGGAAACGGGTGGAGAGATGAAGGGTGATGAGGAATGTTTGGGGAAGGAAGGGAGGTGTCACGAACTGCCAACTGCTAACTGGAGGTAGCCAAACCTGACAAAATGACAAGATGACAAAAAAACATGCCCACATGCACACATGCACACATGCACGCACGTTAGCTGGTAACCCGGACCCTCAGTGGTGCTGCCCATGCCAAACTCGTCCATGCTAATGCATGCAAGCACACATGGATGGACCACATGCACTCATGCGTTCATGACTCACACACAGACGTTACCTGGTAACCAGACCCTTCAGTGGTGCTGCCCATGCCGAACTCGTCCATGTTCGTCTTCCCCACCACCACTGCCCACTCCGCCTTCACCCTCCCCACTGCTGTCGCATCGTATGGCGGCATGTAGCCCTGCGGTGGTCGTCATAGGGGGTTGACACAAACACACACACACATGGGCAATGCGCACACTTGTTGGTCTTTCTCCTTACCCCACTCCGCCTTCACCCTCCCCACTGCTGTCGCATCGTATGGCGGCATGTAGCCCTGCGGTGGTCGTCATAGGGGGTTGACACAAACACACACACACATGGGCAATGCGCACACTTGTTGGTCTTTCTCCTTACCCCACTCCGCCTTCACCCTCCCCACTGCTGTCGCATCGTATGGCGGCATGTAGCCCTGCGGTGGTCGTCATAGGGGGTTGACACAAACACACACACACATGGGCAATGCGCACACTTGTTGGTCTTTCTCCTTACCCCACTCCGCCTTCACCCTCCCCACTGCTGTCGCATCGTATGGCGGCATGTAGCCCTGCGGTGGTCGTCATAGGGGGTTGACACAAACACACACACACATGGGCAATGCGCACACTTGTTGGTCTTTCTCCTTACCCCACTCCGCCTTCACCCTCCCCACTGCTGTCGCATCGTATGGCGGCATGTAGCCCTGCGGTGGTCGTCATAGGGGGTTGACACAAACACACACACACATGGGCAATGCGCACACTTGTTGGTCTTTCTCCTTACCCCACTCCGCCTTCACCCTCCCCACTGCTGTCGCATCGTATGGCGGCATGTAGCCCTGCGGTGGTCGTCATAGGGGGTTGACACAAACACACACACACATGAGCAATGCGCACACTTGTTGGTCTTTCTCCTTACCCCACTCCGCCTTCACCCTCCCCACTGCTGTCGCATCGTATGGCGGCGGCATGTAGCCCTGCGGTGGTCGTCATAGGGGGTTGACACAAACACACACACACATGGGCAATGCGCACACTTGTTGGTCTTTCTCCTTACCCCACTCCGCCTTCACCCTCCCCACTGCTGTCGCATCGTATGGCGGCATGTAGCCCTGCGGTGGTCGTCATAGGGGGTTGACACAAACACACACACACATGGGCAATGCGCACACTTGTTGGTCTTTCTCCTTACCCCACTCCGCCTTCACCCTCCCCACTGCTGTCGCATCGTATGGCGGCATGTAGCCCTGCGGTGGTCGTCATAGGGGGTTGACACAAACACACACACACATGGGCAATGCGCACACTTGTTGGTCTTTCTCCTTACCCCACTCCGCCTTCACCCTCCCCACTGCTGTCGCATCGTATGGCGGCATGTAGCCCTGCGGTGGTCGTCATAGGGGGTTGACACAAACACACACACACATGGGCAATGCGCACACTTGTTGGTCTTTCTCCTTACCCCACTCCGCCTTCACCCTCCCCACTGCTGTCGCATCGTATGGCGGCATGTAGCCCTGCGGTGGTCGTCATAGGGGGTTGACACAAACACACACACACATGGGCAATGCGCACACTTGTTGGTCTTTCTCCTTACCCCACTCCGCCTTCACCCTCCCCACTGCTGTCGCATCGTATGGCGGCATGTAGCCCTGCGGTGGTCGTCATAGGGGGTTGACACAAACACACACACACATGGGCAATGCGCACACTTGTTGGTCTTTCTCCTTACCCCACTCCGCCTTCACCCTCCCCACTGCTGTCGCATCGTATGGCGGCATGTAGCCCTGCGGTGGTCGTCATAGGGGGTTGACACAAACACACACACACATGGGCAATGCGCACACTTGTTGGTCTTTCTCCTTACCCCACTCCGCCTTCACCCTCCCCACTGCTGTCGCATCGTATGGCGGCGGCATGTAGCCCTGCGGTGGTCGTCATAGGGGGTTGACACAAACACACACACACATGGGCAATGCGCACACTTGTTGGTCTTTCTCCTTACCCCACTCCGCCTTCACCCTCCCCACTGCTGTCGCATCGTATGGCGGCATGTAGCCCTGCGGTGGTCGTCATAGGGGGTTGACACAAACACACACACACATGGGCAATGCGCACACTTGTTGGTCTTTCTCCTTACCCCACTCCGCCTTCACCCTCCCCACTGCTGTCGCATCGTATGGCGGCGGCATGTAGCCCTGCGGTGGTCGTCATAGGGGGTTGACACAAACACACACACACATGGGCAATGCGCACACTTGTTGGTCTTTCTCCTTACCCCACTCCGCCTTCACCCTCCCCACTGCTGTCGCATCGTATGGCGGCATGTAGCCCTGCGGTGGTCGTCATAGGGGGTTGACACAAACACACACACACATGGGCAATGCGCACACTTGTTGGTCTTTCTCCTTACCCCACTCCGCCTTCACCCTCCCCACTGCTGTCGCATCGTATGGCGGCATGTAGCCCTGCGGTGGTCGTCATAGGGGGTTGACACAAACACACACACACATGGGCAATGCGCACACTTGTTGGTCTTTCTCCTTACCCCACTCCGCCTTCACCCTCCCCACTGCTGTCGCATCGTATGGCGGCGGCATGTAGCCCTGCGGTGGTCGTCATAGGGGGTTGACACAAACACACACACACATGGGCAATGCGCACACTTGTTGGTCTTTCTCCTTACCCCACTCCGCCTTCACCCTCCCCACTGCTGTCGCATCGTATGGCGGCATGTAGCCCTGCGGTGGTCGTCATAGGGGGTTGACACAAACACACACACACATGGGCAATGCGCACACTTGTTGGTCTTTCTCCTTACCCCACTCCGCCTTCACCCTCCCCACTGCTGTCGCATCGTATGGCGGCATGTAGCCCTGCGGTGGTCGTCATAGGGGGTTGACACAAACACACACACACATGGGCAATGCGCACACTTGTTGGTCTTTCTCCTTACCCCACTCCGCCTTCACCCTCCCCACTGCTGTCGCATCGTATGGCGGCATGTAGCCCTGCGGTGGTCGTCATAGGGGGTTGACACAAACACACACACACATGGGCAATGCGCACACTTGTTGGTCTTTCTCCTTACCCCACTCCGCCTTCACCCTCCCCACTGCTGTCGCATCGTATGGCGGCATGTAGCCCTGCGGTGGTCGTCATAGGGGGTTGACACAAACACACACACACATGGGCAATGCGCACACTTGTTGGTCTTTCTCCTTACCCCACTCCGCCTTCACCCTCTCCACTGCTGTCGCATCGTATGGCGGCGGCATGTAGCCCTGCGGTGGTCGTCATAGGGGGTTGACACAAACACACACACACATGGGCAATGCGCACACTTGTTGGTCTTTCTCCTTACCCCACTCCGCCTTCACCCTCCCCACTGCTGTCGCATCGTATGGCGGCATGTAGCCCTGCGGTGGTCGTCATAGGGGGTTGACACAAACACACACACACATGGGCAATGCGCACACTTGTTGGTCTTTCTCCTTACCCCACTCCGCCTTCACCCTCCCCACTGCTGTCGCATCGTATGGCGGCGGCATGTAGCCCTGCGGTGGTCGTCATAGGGGGTTGACACAAACACACACACACATGGGCAATGCGCACACTTGTTGGTCTTTCTCCTTACCCCACTCCGCCTTCACCCTCCCCACTGCTGTCGCATCGTATGGCGGCATGTAGCCCTGCGGTGGTCGTCATAGGGGGTTGACACAAACACACACACACATGGGCAATGCGCACACTTGTTGGTCTTTCTCCTTACCCCACTCCGCCTTCACCCTCCCCACTGCTGTCGCATCGTATGGCGGCGGCATGTAGCCCTGCGGTGGTCGTCATAGGGGGTTGACACAAACACACACACACATGGGCAATGCGCACACTTGTTGGTCTTTCTCCTTACCCCACTCCGCCTTCACCCTCCCCACTGCTGTCGCATCGTATGGCGGCATGTAGCCCTGCGGTGGTCGTCATAGGGGGTTGACACAAACACACACACACATGGGCAATGCGCACACTTGTTGGTCTTTCTCCTTACCCCACTCCGCCTTCACCCTCCCCACTGCTGTCGCATCGTATGGCGGCGGCATGTAGCCCTGCGGTGGTCGTCATAGGGGGTTGACACAAACACACACACACATGGGCAATGCGCACACTTGTTGGTCTTTCTCCTTACCCCACTCCGCCTTCACCCTCCCCACTGCTGTCGCATCGTATGGCGGCATGTAGCCCTGCGGTGGTCGTCATAGGGGGTTGACACAAACACACACACACATGGGCAATGCGCACACTTGTTGGTCTTTCTCCTTACCCCACTCCGCCTTCACCCTCCCCACTGCTGTCGCATCGTATGGCGGCATGTAGCCCTGCGGTGGTCGTCATAGGGGGTTGACACAAACACACACACACATGGGCAATGCGCACACTTGTTGGTCTTTCTCCTTACCCCACTCCGCCTTCACCCTCCCCACTGCTGTCGCATCGTATGGCGGCATGTAGCCCTGCGGTGGTCGTCATAGGGGGTTGACACAAACACACACACACATGGGCAATGCGCACACTTGTTGGTCTTTCTCCTTACCCCACTCCGCCTTCACCCTCTCCACTGCTGTCGCATCGTATGGCGGCGGCATGTAGCCCTGCGGTGGTCGTCATAGGGGGTTGACACAAACACACACACACATGGGCAATGCGCACACTTGTTGGTCTTTCTCCTTACCCCACTCCGCCTTCACCCTCCCCACTGCTGTCGCATCGTATGGCGGCATGTAGCCCTGCGGTGGTCGTCATAGGGGGTTGACACAAACACACACACACATGGGCAATGCGCACACTTGTTGGTCTTTCTCCTTACCCCACTCCGCCTTCACCCTCCCCACTGCTGTCGCATCGTATGGCGGCGGCATGTAGCCCTGCGGTGGTCGTCATAGGGGGTTGACACAAACACACACACACATGGGCAATGCGCACACTTGTTGGTCTTTCTCCTTACCCCACTCCGCCTTCACCCTCCCCACTGCTGTCGCATCGTATGGCGGCATGTAGCCCTGCGGTGGTCGTCATAGGGGGTTGACACAAACACACACACACATGGGCAATGCGCACACTTGTTGGTCTTTCTCCTTACCCCACTCCGCCTTCACCCTCCCCA